ATGTCAGATTGTGATAGGAATTCTTGAGGAAATGAAAGAATTAGATAGGATGGAGATGGAGTTCACTACTATTGAAGCCCAGAAGGAGCTCCTATCAAACTTAAAAAATGAGTTGGGAGAGGTGTTGTTCCTAAAAGAGAAATTGGCCTAAGTGGGTCAAAGAAGGAGAAGCCAACACTCACTAGTTCCATACCGTGGTGAATGGCCATAGAAGGAAAAAGCTTTGTCTGGTGTACTATTTTTAACCAGTTCACTATAGATTATTCACTTCAAGCACATAGGCCAATCATGTTTTTTCACCTAATGTGTATGTTATGTGCAACTGGGAGGCTGAGTCCCATAATCAACTCTGGATTATCATATGGCTTGGCGGCTTTTGGCTAGATTCTAGACAATGGTCCCTCTTCCTTCTCTTGAGTGTTTTATCCCTATCTCTCACCTTGCCTTTCTGGAAGAGTAAAGAATATAGGTTGCTTTAGCAAGAAGCTCTTTCTCGTGAATAATGAGTGCTATGGTTGAAGAAAATGCAAGACTCTTTAATGATAATTTTTACGATCATTTTTTACCTCCATTTCTTTAAGCTTTGTTTGAAAGAGAAAGAGAGAGGTCTAAGCAACGGGACATAATAGAATGTAATGAAAATTAATGGAATGGAAAATATTTGATATTAGTTGGATAAGATAGTAATAGAAATGAATGAAAAATATGGATAGAAGGTAAAAGAGGGAGAAATATAAAATTATTAATTTGCAAAGACAATAATAACTCTATTATTTATAGATACAATAAGAAAAATGCAGTTTAGTCAATCAAATAAATTAATTTTACACTCATTTCCAATCAATCAGTTTTCTGTCAATCAGAGGAAGAAAAATCTTTTAGACCTTTGAGAAAAATGATTCTTCCTCGTTTTATTGGCGGAAAATTGTTCCATTCCATTGATGAACACTTTCCAAACATGCAATTATATTTATCTCACTCAATTTTTCATTCTATTCAATATTTTATCCCTCTGCTAAACATACCCCTAGAAAAGGTTGACCTTTTTGGCACCTCTCTAACTTAAGACACATGAGCATTATAGAGATATTTTCTTGGCCATTTTGAATAGAGATTAGGCAACAGCTACACTGATTTTTATTTCTCTTTTTTTTTTCTTTTTCTTTGTTTTAGCAGGATTTTTTTATCCCCAGTTATGTACTTTTCTCTTTTTTCTCTCTAATAATACCTCTCTTTTCATTCAAAAAATGGAACTATATAATTCCCTCTAGTTCACTATGAGTTCTCATAGGACAGCTGTGTTGAAATTTGCACTCCATAATTCCCTCAGAGAGATACCATGATAAGTTCACAATTATGAGCAACTTCTAAATGCATGATAGTCGCATAGAGTCTTATCTATACCTGAAAAAACAAACCTCTGTGATAATTTTCAGTGGGTGGCATTAGCGCATCTATATAAACATGTGTTTCTATTCCCCATACTCTCAAGTAGCTGAACAGATCTGATAACTCTTCAAGTGCCTTGCGTACATGTTTATCTGCAGAGGCATGAATAGAATGATAAGCCAAATTCCTTGCACAACAATGAGTAACTTTCTTTTTGTTGAAATAAAAAGTGCACAACAATGAGTAACTGAATCATACCAGCTGGCAAAGCCCCCTTTAACCGAGGAAGGGCTTGGTCTGCAGCTCCACAAAACCTTAAACCAACAGTCTGCAGCCTATTTACAACAGCTTCAGCTAAATTCAGTTCCTGGTCAAGAATGAAATATAGAAGAAATAAATTATACACATATTGTACAAAATAGTAAATAATGAATGGTTTTCACATTCTCTCGAGTCTTTAACCCTCACAAACATTCCAAGATTTGTGAAGGACACATAATAGATACAACTAATATATAATATTCATTCAAATTAATGCTCACACAGATGGGAAAAAACCCAAAATTTCTCAAAGGAGATGCTTGAGGCTTTTAGAGTAATTGACATGATTCTATAAAGTCCAGAGATAGAAAGTTCATTTTTTTTTTAAAAAAGTCTAAAGATAGAAAGCCTATAGAGAGAATATCAGTTTTATGAGAAATTTCTTCTTTTCACTCAAGTTGTTTTTCCTCCATAAGGGATTGTTGGCTTTAGAACCCTTATTTGGTACAGGGATCACCCTATGTTCGATAAAATAAATAAATTGATATCTTAGGTCTTTTCTTTCGGTAGTCTCCTTTGTACATCCTTTGTACATGGATGGAACCCCATGGTGCCCTTTCAATATTATATGTTTTTTTCTCTCATGAAAAAAGAAAAGAGATATCCTGAAGGCTTGACTACAGATGAGCCAATTCTACTTTGGATTTTGAGCCATTTTACAAGGTGCATGCTCAATGACAATGCATGTTCAAACAAACTTCTCTTATGCTTTTATAGGCCTTAATTTCATCATAGAAGTAAATGTCTATCTGATCGATCACTCTTGACAAATCAAGGGACTAAATGGCATGCTGGTGTTGGACACTATAGTAATGACATATAAGTTTACAAACATTAACATATGTTATTCCTTCCTCAAACCTGCAAAAGTTGACGCCTGATTACCACCCACTTCAACTTCCACTCAGATGACTGAGGGCGCAAGGATCCCATCAAAGAAAGAAGCTTCATTCAGAAACGGAGACACTAGTAAGATCATATTTCACATAAACCGAGTGGTTCGCATCCTAAAATACATCAATTTGCGTACCTCTGCTACTTTCTGTCTATGCTCAGCCTTTATTCCTGCCCAACACCATATTGCGTCTAGCAAATCCCCATGGTTTAGATGTATATCACATGATTCTGGATGGAAAAAATGAGTTACAACATCCACCGTAACCTGTAGAAATGAGTACATTCAGTGCCAACTGCACAATAATATACAAATTAATAGTTGAATTGCATGCAACAATGGAATTTATTTCCTTAATCCTGGTATGTTATGGATGACCCATAACTTGAGCATTTATGATCTCTAGATAATTGCTCTACAGGCTAATTTTAATTACTACTTTCCAGCATCGCATAAACTACAAAATACTAGCACAAGATAAACTCGCTCTGGCAATATTTAGATTCAATTCATCTCAGGTCCTGGAAAAAAAAGATGTTATAGCTGATTTAAGAGAAAAAAAATCAAGGACTTTTGTTTTTTGAAAGATGAAAAAATTGTTCACAGTGGCATTGTTTTTCCAGTCCAAATCATGGGCATTTACACAAAGGTGCCAAGCCAGCAGGACCTTATAAAATAAACAAATCAGACAACCTTAACTTTTTGGTGGGTATGGGGGAGATTAACAGTAAATGAGACTCCCAACAAAAAGAATGATAAGAGAGTAAAGAAGACAAAAAGTGAGAGCACCTTAAGAACCTCTGCCTCTGTCAAAGCAGTCCCACCTCCGATAATATCAAAATCACCCTACCATAAACAAAAATAAATAGTGAGGTCCAATTTCTTTTTTTGAAATAAAAAATGTAAAAAGTATATTTAATCACGGCACCAAAAGGGTGCCATCCATTTACAGAATATTACAAATCTGTTAGTATATCAACTATATTCCCAAAATTTTCTATCCTGTATAAGTCATAACTTAAAATCAAAAAACCAAAATAATGAAATCATCTATCCTTAATTTTATATATCTCCTCTTCAATCCCCTTAAAAGCCCTATTGTTCATCTATTTCCAGATTACCCAAAAAATAGTTAATAGAATAAGATTTACAATTTTTTTCTTTTTACAAATTCTTTCTCATGCCCAAAGCTCATCCCTCACCGATCCTGCTATAACTCAATTAATCCCTAGTAAGCCATAGACCGATAAATAGTGAGATTCAATAAATAAAACTTTTGATAAGTAGATGAGGAAGCATCATCATTTCTAATCCTGTATTGTCCAAAAGCGAAAAAAGGCTCAGTAAAAAAATATTTCTGAAACCATACCTGAAGATAGCAATTTGGTGGGGAATGACCAACCGCTCTCCTGTAAACAGATGATATTTCATACCGTTTGAAAGAGGATTTCTATGACCAAAAAAAGAAAGGGTAAAAGCATGAACCCATATTAACATGTCATTTTATTCACTTAATCTGAAGAAGAAAACGTAAACGTAAACGAAAAGTAACCATAGCAAGTGTTTCCATAGATTGAATCGTGGTCTAAATTTTGCACCTGGCTGCCGACAGCCCAACTAACAAAAGGCAGACGAAGTTCATGAATAAGGTCGAGCATATCTCCTCCATGAGTCAGAAGTTTGACAGTGTTCCTTCCCATAAAAAAAAAAATATATTCATTGGCTTATTCCAGTTACCACAAAGAAAGTAGTTATGATTTAGCTAACAAACATACCTACTGAACTGTGGAGAATCACCTAACAAAAGCATGGGAATTATTTCTAGATGCTTAGCACAATGCTGTCTGAAAACTTCCCTTGTGATTTCAATAACATAATCACGATGCTCAGTGTCAAAAACTGTGTACTGGATACTGGAAGTGTCCTCTGTACTGGTCCTCAATCTACTAGTAAATTGATTATGGTTTTTCATTTCCAACATTTTGTCATCAAAGATAGCATTTACAACTTTATCATAAATGCTTGAGTCCTCAGAAGTTTGCATTGTTCGCAGAATGTCTGAGATATATAAGGAAATGGGTTAGTCAGGCTGATTCATGAATTAGGTACACAAAGGCATGGAATCCAATATTGAATCTATGAAATTCTGTCCACCTCAGGAAAAAGAATAGGACATGAAATGCAAATATAGATAATCGATGGATCTTTTTTTACAAAAAAAGAAGTATTAATAGGAATTAGAAGAGATTATGCACGATGGTGGAATAAGATACCCTCCTGGAGCTTCACAGACAAAAACTCATAGAGAACAACCAAACTCCTACAATATTAACTCCCCCCCAACCCCCCACCCCCCCAATTCATATAAAGAATGAAGATAGAAATGCCACAAATTTTCTGTGAGCCTTTGCCTATAAGTAGGACAAAAATTTATTTCAAAAAAATAAGGAGGACAAAAATGTCATCTTCTCCCACAGACACTGGATCAGGTGAGTTTGGACTTTGAAAATCCTTTGATTTCTTTGTAGTTACATTGTCCATGAACCCACAAACAAAGCATCCCACCAAAGAGGTTCAGTGACTTTTCTCACCCAGAAAAATTAGATTTCACATAACAGTCCAGAGGAGGAGGTGTAATCCAATTCAAACAAAAACATATCAAACAAATGCGTCCGCAATTTCCAAGCCACATCACATTGAAGGAATAAGTTGTTACGTCCTCCCCCTTCACTAGAACACATAAAACAGATGTTTTTGACTTGAGGTCCATGCGAACAACTTCACTATCGAAGGAACTTTACCTTTTCAAACACCTTGGCGGAATGCCTACAACAGCAGTTAGGATTTTGGGTTAAGTAACCAAAGAAAGATTTACAAGTCTATGCTCCTGAGGGATCTAAAGTCCACACTCTGCTATCAAGGTTAGCAGCTTCAGTCTCTTGGTCATTCAAGTTCCTAAAGAGTATCATCTATTTGAAAGCTTTATATGCTTATATACCATAAGCACACAACAACATTGATATTAATTACTGCCATTTGATTCAAGGAAAGGCATGGTAGCAACTAATTTTAAACTTATTGTAAAGACAATAATACGAGCAGAGATTTCTACATTATTCACTGATTTTATTCAAAGAAAAAATGAATAACATCATTCACAAGGTGCCAAGAGGCTATTTCTCACGTTAAAAGAAAATTACACAGCAGTATTGTACAAAATATCTATCAGGTCCCAGAGGTCTCCAGTGTCAATTGAAGGAAGACCCTCCAACAAATACAAGGTCTGAAACAAATGGTCCCTAATTATACCTAGTTATACCAAAAGCAGCATAGTGCCCCCAGAAACTCTTTGTTTTATCCACAGTTTAATCACTGACGCTGTATAACCTTTTTTGTGAAATAAAAGTGTAAGAATTGTATTAAAATAGTGGTGCCAGGAGGGCACTCCCCATGTACAAAAGATTTACAAGTTGGCTGATGTTGTAAAACAAAGCAACCAATACATAGTATTCCACCATTAGAACCAACTGGAGGAGTTATATTAAGTTTTCCACCATAAACTACATTCAGTCATTAGCATTCAGTGACAACTTCATTTCTAAAACGGTAAGAGATATTTAGCTTCATATTATTGTCTTTGGTCTATATTTTCAAAGATAAAGAAGAAATATTATAAATAAGAAACCAAAGGGGTGCCAGCCATGTAAAGAAGAATGGAATTACAAGTTAATAAAAAATCAAGGTCATCTTTAGATCCTCCAGTAGGAAAAAGGACGACCCTTTAATTAAAAACAAATAGTTCCGAACCAGTCATCGCTGATTTTGCAGAAAAGGAGAATGCACTTAGTTAAATTGTCAGAGTAATGAAAAGGCCAATCAGCTTCTTAAATTCTCATGCTATCCTGATTTTTTTGAGCTAAGGGACCTTACAGATAATTCATATGCTCCTTTTTTTTCTTGCTGATGGTAATGCCCTCATGGGGCTTAGAACCTGAGCCTCTTTTGTGCTTGTATGGAAAAAGAGCACAACTAACAGCTTGGAGAACTATGGAATTTTTTTTAAAAAAAAAAAATTAAGAGAACCATGATTTTTCAAAACGAGGAAATGCTTCCTTTCATTGTAGCTTTGAGAATACACTTTGTTAATTATTCTGAGTAAACTTATCTGGTTTTCTCCATATTTTCTCTGTTCTTTCTCTCCAACATCCATGCCTCCCCAGCAAGGAGTACTGGCATTTGTACTATACACAAAAACCAGGATTTTATTTCATATGCCCTTTGTTTCTCCTTGATGAGCACAATCATCAGTCCTCTCTCCGCTCAATCGCTAATAATATAGCTACCAAAGTATTTACAGAAACCAAAGGGGTGCCAGCCATGTAAAGAAGAATGGAATTACAAGTTAATAAAAAATCAAGGTCATCTTTAGATCCTCCAGTAGGAAAAAGGACGACCCTTTAATTAAAAACAAATAGTTCCGAACCAGTCATCGCTGATTTTGCAGAAAAGGAGAATGCACTTAGTTAAATTGTCAGAGTAATGAAAAGGCCAATCAGCTTCTTAAATTCTCATGCTATCCTGATTTTTTTGAGCTAAGGGACCTTACAGATAATTCATATGCTCCTTTTTTTTCTTGCTGATGGTAATGCCCTCATGGGGCTTAGAACCTGAGCCTCTTTTGTGCTTGTATGGAAAAAGAGCACAACTAACAGCTTGGAGAACTATGGAATTTTTTTTAAAAAAAAAAAATTAAGAGAACCATGATTTTTCAAAACGAGGAAATGCTTCCTTTCATTGTAGCTTTGAGAATACACTTTGTTAATTATTCTGAGTAAACTTATCTGGTTTTCTCCATATTTTCTCTGTTCTTTCTCTCCAACATCCATGCCTCCCCAGCAAGGAGTACTGGCATTTGTACTATACACAAAAACCAGGATTTTATTTCATATGCCCTTTGTTTCTCCTTGATGAGCACAATCATCAGTCCTCTCTCCGCTCAATCGCTAATAATATAGCTACCAAAGTATTTACAGATTCAAATGTATATACAATGAGTGGATTGATTTACCAAACCGGTCTGAGTTACTTACTGTCCAATAACTCAGATTCCATTCTAGGAGGAAATGCATGCTGTAGAAGTTCTGTGGCAGAAGGGCGATCAGATGGACTTGGAGACATTAAGCGCCGCAACAAGGATGCCTGCTCTGGAAATTCAGCAACCCACAAAGGAGGAAGTTCACCTTTTTGCTTTAAATCAGATAAAACAATGTGTCTTTCCATTGCTGTTCCAAAAGGGCGCCAAAGCTCAAAGAATACAACTCCTAAGCTATACATGTCAACCTGAAAACAAGATGAGTTTTACTCAATCTTCGAACAAGACAAGCTGGAAGCTGTGAAGTAAAACCAAAAAGGACAGCCATGAGAGACACCTTTTCATCAATCTTTGGCCATCCTTGCTCAATCTCAGGCGCAGTGTAAAAATAGGTACCAACTTGACCAGTACCATCAATTGAAACTCCATTTAGATCTGTGGGAAAGGCTGCTTCTTGATCAACCTGCTCCAACTTCAAGAACTTTGCTGAAACACGTCAAAAAGAAAAAAAAATTGCATTACATTGATTCCGAGCAAAGATTAAAAGAAAAAGATCAAAGACGGAGGACAAGAAATTCTCCTAAATCAAAGGAAAAAAATGCATCAGAATAACAACAGATTCCAGCTCCTTTGCAAAATGGCCAAAGAGACATCCTAGAAAAACAACAAGCATTCGCCAAAGTGCAGCAAATAAACCATTCTGTCTGGAAGGAAAGACAGATGACAAAAACAATCCTGAAGACCAAGCATTACACTCCAACCTCAACAATCCTTGAAGACAAGCAAAAATAGCTCCTCTCCATAGTGCCCCAACATCCTTCTTCCCTCCTTCCGTAAGTAAACTAGATAGAAAATACTAAAAATGAGAAAACCAACCATACTTAAACTATCAAAAAAGCTAGATCAAGAATTTGCTACTCAGGAGGACTTGATCCCGCATTTTGATATCACAGTTAACAACTTCCAACTTATTGATACCAGGACAATAAGACAGGAGCCCCAGCAAAGGATGACCATAGATGACTTGCGTGAAATGTAGAGAGGAAAGATAGCTGGTGTTGACAATAGTCGGCCCTCGAGAGCCAATCCATCCAACAGCAACGGTGGTCATTGGTGAAGCAACAGAGAGATACATTTGTTTAATGTGAATGGCCATCTCAGTTTGACCATCTGCTTCAGGATGGCAGAAAGAGTGAATTTTGGAGTTGTTACAGACAAAACAGAAAATCTCCTTTGGAAGACCTCTGAAAAGCTACGTCCCAATTGCTTACAATTGTCATGGACAGCTTGTGAAGCTAAAAAATGTCGTTAAACAAGCTTAGAGCCACACTCAAAGCTATGTAAGCATGTAACAATGGAGGAAAATGAGCATACTCGGAAATTGATCAAGCAGCACCAACAAGATGGTCCTTCAATGAGATAAGGGCAAGCCATCAACGAAGTCCATCAAAATATCAGCACAAAAGTGAGCAGTTACTGGTAGGGGTTGTCAAAGACCTATACATCGAAGTTGTTCCACATTATGGCATTGGCACACAAGATAAGCACAAACAAATTCCTGGACTAACTATTCTGAAATTTCTAGTAAAAGTCCTATACAACTCTCTTTAGAGTCTTTTAGTACCACTCATGCTCCATATTATGAGCAGCGAAGAAGATGGTTGTGACCGAAATAGAGCAACAAGAGAAAATAGGGATAACAACAGGGCAGATTTTGGACAGATTTTACCAAATCCGAAACCGACCTGCTCCTATAAAAAGTAACACGGAACACACTCCAAACCGGGAGCGGGTTTGGATTTTTTGGGTTCTTTTAGACCGGTAGAATTACAGGTTATCCAACTCAAGCCTGACACAGTATTTTATTATAGTAATATAAATATAATCATACTTATACTAATAAAAATTAAAAATATAAATATATATATGCCAAACCCAAACCTGCCTCTCTGTTCCCGCTAACCCGAACCCGACCTGATTCGAACCTGCATTTTAATGAAAAGACCGTATAGGATCAGGTTCGGACAGATCAAATTAAATAGATTCGAGTCCAAGATATAATCCTTAAGGGAGAAATACACAATTCTTAAAGAAGTATAGGTTGATCGAGAAGGACTAAGGGGTTGCAAGCTCACTTGACCTAATCTTAGCAACCAACATTTGGAGTTCAGTGGAAGATCTGACCTCCAGTCGAATACAATTGAAGAATTCTAACCGTGTCATGGATATGATCCTGAGTAAGCCTTAGCTATGTGCTACCATGAAAGGACATCTACAACTTTATTTTCATGGCTTGCCTTGTATTTCACATCAAAACCATAGCCCATCATACCAATGCAAGAAATAACACTTTGCTCCAAAAAATCTGTCCCACAAGTATGAGAATTAGTGATTCAAAACTTTAGCAAGGCCAATTAGTTCTTTTCTGTAGGATGGAAATTCATGATGGCGAACAACTAAGGCGCAGTTGAAATAGGCTACCGCTTGAGCATACTGTTGAAGGAAGCTGCAATGCCATGATTTGAGGCATCATATTTGACGATCAAAGATAGGGAAAACTTTGGTAGGGCCAAAATGGAGGTATTAGCTATTGAGTGTTTCAGGCCCTCAAAAAGTTGCGGTAGCTTCTTCCATCCAGGCAAAAGTAATTGCTATTAACGTAGTTGTCAATGTAACCGCAATCATGCCGTAGTCATTGACAAACCTCCTATAATACCAGTGAGACCAAGAAAACTACTTAGTGCAAAAGCAGTTGATAATCTCTATGAGTTGATCATTGCTTCAATATTTGAATTGTCCACTGCAACCCTATGCATTGAGATAATATGCCCAAGGTAAGTGACCTATGGTTGAGCAAATAGGCACTTGATCTTTTGAGGAACAAATGATTAGGCCGTATTGTGGAAAAAAACCATCCTTTAAGTGATGGAAACGCTTGAACCAAGATTAATGGTAAACCAATATGTCGCAAAAACACATGACGTGTTACAGATATATGGTTAGAAGATTGAGTTCATTAAAGACTAAAATGAAACCAAGAACTCGAAGTGGCCATGGTGAGTCTAAAAGGTAAACTTGGGTATATTCGAGTTAGGCGACCCTAAGAGAAATTCCAACTTTTTGAAGAATTATGCTCCACATAGTTTCTTCCATGAGCTCATTGATGACCAGGACAGAGAATTTGTCTTTGATGTTGTATTAAAGTACTATCACCACAAACCATGAGTGTTTTAACCAGCAAGATAGGAGAAGAAAAAGTGACTGAATCAGCATGATAATCCATTGTATTTTTAGCATCTTTAAAGATAGACACTCAATCTAATCTTTTTGGAGGTCAAAGTAGCAGTAGGGACTTGCACAATTGACCTGGTCCCTTTTTTAACGTAATCAGGTGATAATGGCCTTGTTTGTGGGGAAGACTCATAGGTAGTCCCAATTGGCATAACCAGTTGACATCAAGAACAGCTCAGGAACCATGCAATAGCAAGACATAAAGATCTAAACAGGATTGATATTTGCTAGGACCAAGGAACCTTCCAATAGATCCTTGTGCTATGCATTTCACCATAACCTACCAAGAAACAACTAGGCAACCATGCAATGGAAGGAGATAAATATCCAAGTAGATTTGGTATTTGCTGAGGACTAAGGACCCTTTTGAAAGATCCCTGTACTCTGCAATCTCTCAACATTAGCTACCAAGACTTACAACTCCTTTTGGCCCCGATAGTTACAAGTAACTGGCTGACAGATCTCTCAAACACATCACTTCAATGGCTAGAATCTAAATCATGTTCAGGAAACATTTTCATGGTAATTTGACAGAATAAGCATTTGAATTGAATGTGATATAAGATTTGTTGATAAAAGAAATCACTGGCTCAGAAGAAAAAAACAAAAAGAAACTAAAACATGGCAGACTGAAACAAAATTGGTTAAACAATAACACCTAATACTAAAAAGCACCTAAAGCTACATGATGAACTAAAACCACACAATCCACTGCATTTACAGTGAAAATTAGACGTCCATCATGGCTTCTATTATTGATAGTTTATTGATAAAGGAAAAGAGTTCCACTCCACTTCTTATCCTTGCTCAGGGTAACTATGGATGTAGCAGAGAGATTAGAGGATTGTATGAGAAGATTTATTTGGGCAAGTGTGGGTGAGACAGAGCAGGACCACTTTATGAGTTGGGACGTGTGTTGGTAGTCCAAGAGTTCATGAGGTTGGGTGTTGGGAACCTCAGATAAAAAAACTAATTCCTATTGGCTAAATGGTCTGACCTTTCCAATGAGAACCAAACTCTTTTAGCTCAAGGTAATAAGCAATATTATGGGAGTAGAAAAGACAGACGGGATGTCATGACTAGAAGATCCCTTTCTCACCATAGTCCTTGGAAATCCATCTCCCAAGCACAGGTATTGTTCCAGCTCGTAACCCATTTCCAAATGGGAGATGGAGCTTGAATAATGTTTTGAGAGGACTCATAGATCAGTCACCAACTGTTGGCCACCCAGTTTCCTCAGTTGTTCAACAGATATCTAGACACAACTCCCTGGTACCTGAATTCACCTTGACCCAGAGGACAGAGTTGTCTAGAATTTCTGCTTCACCTCAACCTATCAAAAACGAGATTCTTAAAATGCAAAATTTATTACTGTTGGTATACCCTATCACCCAGCATGATACTAGACTTTGGACATTGGAAACTTCAGGTTCAAGCTTACAAATCTTCCTAAGTCCAACTCATCAAAAACCTGCCCACTGGTGTCTTCCACAGTGCCAAAGGTTTTTGAAAAGCTACTGTTCTTTTGAAGGTAAAGATGATTACATGAACAACCATGCATCAACGGTTTAATATCAATGACATTCTTCAAATCCATCACCCAATAGGGCTCTCTATCCACTTATCTATATCATGTGCCTTGAAAGATGAGAATTTTATTCCCATTTATTCCTTCATTGTGAAATAGAATGGAAAATATGGACAAAATAGTTCTCTGTCCTGGGGCTTGCCTAGGTGGCTCCTCCATTAGTTGAGAGCTTCTTACACTTGTTCGTCAATGGGATGTGGGAGTAAGACAGAGAGCTAAACCCTTATAGCAAGGGGTGATCTTCTCATGGTTATGAGCATATGGCTTGCGTAGAATCGCAAGAGTTTTGATAGCGCACACCTCCCTATAGGAATTATGGGATAGAGTAACATTTTTTACAAACCTATGGGCTAAGCCCCATGGGAAGGACACCCCAATATCCGACCTATACCGAAGCTGAGAGGCCATTATTTGCAGCCCTTAAGATGGCCACTCTTTTGCTCAATGGATTGATCTTGGTTTTCGTTTGGTGTTGCATTTATTATTTTTGGATGATAACTTATGCTCCTTTCTTGATAAGAAATTCTTCTTCTATATATGTACGAAGAAGTTATGAAGGAATTGTTTATCCAATACTTAAATTCAAAGGCTCCAATCAAGTTCTCAATCACAAAAGCCAAGTTTTAAACAAAAATATATTTTCCAGCAACAAAAAGAAAAGGATCATAAATTTTAATATGTAGTAGATTCCTTTCTTTGTCCAACCAGTTACAGGTATACGACCAATGCTTAAATCAAGGATTCTAAACCAAATGGCATAACCCAGCCATTTTGAAGGGGAAGGGGTGGATCTGGACTTTCATTATAACCAAGAGTGGAGGCTTCATATTCGTTTTTTTGTACTAAAAAAACAAATGTAATGGGTGAAAAAGGGACACCATTCAAGATTTAAAAATTTAAAAAAAAAAATAGCATTTCAAAATTTAGATATTGCTAGATAAGAAAGAAGACAAAGAACATTATTGTTACATAAGAAAGCCATACCAAGACCAAAATCTCCTATTTTAATCTCATTGCGAGCATCAAAGAAGATATTGCTTGGTGTCAAGTCCCTATGGATGATGCCTTGTCCGTGTATGTGTGCCAAGCCTTCTACTATTTGGCGAAACACATGCCAAGTCAATTCCTTGTCAAAATGACTTTTTGAATCATATGATTCAAAAACTTGGCGGAGAGTCCTTCCAACAATTAAAGGAAAAGGAAAGATGTAAGAGAACCATTGAAGCATATTACAAATGAAATGAAGAAACACAAAAAGTGTACTGATGACAATAATTGAAGAGCAATAAAACTACAAAATCACTTAGACTTTTGAAGCAAGATTTATATCCATCAGAGATTCAGAATCCAGAAGCAGAAGGATACTTCTAACAGTCCATTAGAATATGTGTATTAAGTGTAAATATAATACCTTTACACAAAAACAACATTAGCTTTTTAGTAATCTTATTACTTGAGCATATACCACTAATTTATTTCTAATGCCTAATGACTTGGGCTTGTCCCTTATCTATTTAATCTTTCTTGAGGTCTTATCTAAAGGGTGATGGTGTTGAGAAGGAGACAAGTATTTTATGTAGAGGTTCAGTTTTTTTCAAGGTTGTGAGTGTTATGTTTGGAGCACAATGCCAGACTTTTCAAGGATCATTTTTTGCCTCCTAAATATCTGCAACCACATAAGTTTTTCAGAAACATTTCCTTATCTACGCTTCAAATGAATTCAGAAGCAGTTCTGCCTTGATTGTTATTGAGGTTGCCTCATCCTCTTGTATCTTTCCTTTCCCTAGATTCTAATAATATTTCTTTTCTTACAAAAAAGAAATGCCTACTGACTCATGAGATGTTTTGACTGATTCGAGATTATAAGAATACTCTGTACTGGGGAACACACTAATATTATTAAGATTGAGCACTTCGTGTAACTCAAAATGTAGAAATTTTAATGGAGGAAAATTTCATAAATGTAATCTGCAATTCTCACGGCTTGTGATTAAGTCATGAAAGACAATAATTTATATAAATGAGAGAGGCCCTTCATCCAAAGATCACTAGACATTTTTCTCATTTGAGAACGACAAGGAGAAAATAAGCTACAAAGAGGGAAGAGAACATCTATAACAATGTGGGGGAACAGATATAAGGAATTCAAATCTTTTACCTAGGACAGAATTCCATTTGAATATACAAATATGTTGACTCAAGCTTATGATCTTGTCCAGGAGCATCGGATAAGCCAGCACCCATCAAGCTGCTGTAGCTAGCTGCAGTCCCTGAACCCCAGCCTGTTTCACCATGAGAACCAGCAATTCCTGTTTCAAACCAGGCCTGTTACATTCATTAAAGATTTTTCGTAGTAAGATAAAAATATTCCACCGTTAAGTGAAAATTAGTCAGATTAAGAAATGCCAGTTAAATATGAGTAACTTTTTGACACAAAAAGTTCAAATAAGGCCTTCTTTTTTCCTTTTTGGTTGAAGAATTATTATGGCGAAACTATTAAAGAGAGGGTAAATTAGGTTAACGGATATAAGGATAAATTACATCATTTATAATTAATTGTAATTAATTGTCTATTTCCTTTTCTGTCCTATAAATCCTATATATATAGAGCTGTTATATTCAATTTATCAAAACCCTAAGTTAAAGAAATTTTAAACTCTTTTACAAACTTTGTTTGGCCTTCATTGCCGAAATAGAAAAGAAAAAATCCTAAAAAAAGGGTTAGGACAATCTTCATAGCTGGCCACTGTAGACCAGCCACCACCGTCGCCCACCACAAGTGGACCATCTCTACCAAGACCGGCATTCATTGCTGAATCCATCTCCTCAACCGCAGCCCACCCACGGTCGCCCTCAGTCGTGCAGATTCATCCAAATGTCCGTAGCCCAACCACCATCTATCCATCCCAGCTACAGTCGCACAGACTAACAATCATAGAACCCTAGCTTGTCTCTATTGGGACTCTCTGCGGACAGCCTTGTCTCTGTCATGACTCCCTATGCACAGACACCAGAAGCCAAACGTGACCTCTACAGCTCTTTGGGTACAAACCCACAACACCATACACCAGACATATGTGTGCCGGCCACTAATCTGTTTTGTCGTGCCCCTATGTGCACTTGTGCCTCTACTCTATACATGCAAGTCAAGTCCACGCTTTTTACACAAATCAAAGCAAGCCGAGTCAAGTAAGGGTGATAAGGTTCAAGAGGTCAAGCAATCGTCCGAGTAGACTTAATAAGATCATACCAGATCCAAGTTGACTCGGTGAGTTCCTGGTCTGAATTTTGAAAGTTATGTTTCCCATATTGTTTAAAAATTCAGAATATGAAAATTTACACTGCGATATTTGTGACTTTGCAAAACATAAGCAAACAACATTTTCTATTAATAATAAGAGAAGTTAAATTCTATTTTCATTAATTAACAATGATATTTAGGGACTAACTTGGACACCTAATATTTCTAGGGCTTAATGATTTGTGTTATTTATTGATGATTACACTAAAGTTACCTAGTTGTTTTTACTTAAACGCAAATATGATGTTAGTCATATCATATCCCAATTTTACAATATGATAAAAACCCAATTTAGAATATTCATAAAAATTATGTACCAACAATGCTAAAAAGTTTTTCAATCGCACACTTTCATCATTCTTCCATGAGGAAAGAATTCTTTATTAATCATTACGCGCCCACATTGCACAACAGAACAAAGTAGCAGAACACAAGAATAGTCAACCTTTAACCACCATTAGAATTTTTTTTTCCAAAACGACATCCTAAAAGAATATTGGAGCAAAGTTGTCCTTACTGCTCCCTATATTATTAATCATCTGCCCATAAGTGTTATTAACTTCAAAAGTCTTCTTGAAACATTTCAACAATTTTACCAAACAATAAGTATTACAAACTATATGGTCCCTTGAGTATTTGGGTGTATTACTTTTGTTCATATTCATTCACACCAAATAGAAAAACTTGATTCTCAGGCTCTGAAATGTCTTTGTAGCGTACTTCTCCTCTCAAAAAGGGTACAATATTACCATCCACTCACCCAAAAATTTTATGTGTCTGCGAACGTCATATTTGTTGAATAAAAATCCTATTTCACCCAACTTTATCTTCAGAGGGAGCTTATATTGAAAGATATAGAATTCTTAATGGATTTTAATCTACCACCTTTGTCACACACCTCAAAATAATTACCATAAGAGAATATTCAAAATCCACTAGAAAACTCATCACAGCCAAAAAACCTTCAAAATCTATCTTCTCAAGAGATCATACTAGACCTTAGGTCTTCTCATGTGTATATAATGAGGAAGATGTCAAGTATTGAACCAAAACCAGTCCAAGAATTCAAACTTATATAGTCTGATAATGACCTATCTATAGCATTTTGTAAAAGTAAAAAAAAAATACACTGAACACCCTTTGTATTCCATCTTACAGTATGTCATTTGATAAGTTTTCATCAATCTATAAAATTTTTTTTACGAGTTTAAGTAATGAGTCTATTGCTAATATAGTATCTAAGGCATTATTCTTTTTAAAAATAAAAAATAAAAGTATAAAATGTATACTAAAATTAGTATCAAGAGGGTGCAACTTGACAATTTAAGAAATTTTGAGCAGAAAAATTTTTATGTATCCTCCATGGAGGAGAATTCTCATTATATATACAAATCTACAAGTTAATTTTCAGCTCTTAAATTAGCTAAACAAATCTGTCATAATTAAAGTTATTAAAGCTATGTAAATCATACAATTAAACATAAAATATGTTAGCTAATTAATTGCATAATTTGTTATTATAATTGTCTGAAATTTGCTGATTAATTGCATAAACTCTACTGTCATATATGTTGATTAATTGCATATAATCTACTGTCATAATTGGAACAAATCTACTAATTAACTGTATAATATCTGCTGATTAATTGCATAAATTTGTTGGCTAATTAATTGCCAACTAATTCTTTCGACA